AAAAAGATGCACTCTCCTTATTAACTGAAATCAGCTTTTCTGGGGAAAAAGGACTGAAGAGAGGGGAAGGCAAAAGTCAGAGAGCTAACTGTCTAAAATGGACACTTCATGGAGGTAAACACATTTCTTCCTGCTGCAGAATGAATGGGTCCCTCAGTCCGTACTGCATGAGGGGTCAAGGTAGCCTCAGAGAAAGGAAAACAAACTCTCTCTAAAGGACTGGCCTTCATGTGACTAGTAATATTTATTTGGCTTTTGAGTGCTACTACTCATAGGACTTTGCAACCAGAGGTGGGAAAGTTCAACAGAATACCATGATCCTGATCCGGAGCTTCTAGGTTGTAGCCATAGCCCAGCAGGGTCCGCACAGCCTCACGGAGACTGTCCTTATTTGATTTCTTGGTTCGGTCATCTAGGAGGGCATAGGGAACAAGACGGGGGTTTCGTCTGTTCTTTACATCCTGCAGAAAGGCAAGAAAAGGTGCAAATCATCAAAAGCAATTCCAGTAACTTGTGGAAGGAAGACATATGTCACAATTTGTAGATTATGAGGCAAAAACTGTCCGTCCTAAACCTCTTTTGTCCTTTATACTGGAGAAGTTACCAAGATACTGATCAATCCATTTACAAAAAGAAAACAAATCAAAAAAAGTGAAAACACTTTTCTGAGAAAACACCAAATGGCGGATGACGCCGGTGCAGCGGGAGGGCCTGGAGGCCCTGGGATGGGAGCCCGCGGCGGTTTCCGCGGAGGCTTCGGTAGCGGTCTCCGGGGTCCGGGCCGCCGCCGTGGACGGGGCCGTGGGAGGGGCCGCGGAACTCGAGGAGGCAAAGCCGAGGACAAGGAGTGGCTCCCCGTCACCAAACTGGGCCGCTTGGTGAAAGATATGAAGATTAAATCATTGGAGGAGATTTATCTCTTCTCCCTGCCCATCAAGGAATCTGAGATCATCGACTTCTTCCTGGGCATGTCCCTCAAGGATGAGGTGTTGAAAATCATGCCAGTGCAGAAGCAGACACGTGCTGGCCAGCGGACCAGATTCAAGGCCTTTGTTGCCATCGGAGACTATAACGGCCATGTTGGCTTGGGCTTCAAGTGCTCCAAGGAGGTGGCTACTGCTATCCGTGGGGCCATCATTCTAGCCAAGCTCTCCATTGTCCCCGTGCGGCGTGGCTACTGGGGGAACAAGATTGGCAAGCCTCACACCATTCCCTGCAAGGTGACTGGGCGATGTGGCTCTGTGTTGGTGCGTCTGATCCCTGCACCCCGAGGCACTGGAATCGTCTCGGCCCCTGTGCCTAAGAAGCTGTTGATGATGGCTGGAATTGATGACTGTTACACCTCAGCCAGGGGCTGCACAGCTACCCCGGGCAACTTTGCTAAGGCCACCTTTGATGCCATCTCAAAGACCTACAGCTATCTGACCCCAGATCTCTGGAAAGAGACAGTGTTCACGAAGTCTCCCTACCAGGAATTCACAGATCATCTTGTAAAGACTCACACCAGAGTCTTTGTGCAGAGGACTCAGGCTCCAGCTGTGGCCACCACCTAGTGGATTTTCTATAACAAATAAAGTGAATTATGTTCTAGCAAAAAAAAAAAAAAAGTGAAAACAATTAACTCAGTGATCTCTAATCATTATGCAATAGTCACAGGCAAGGGAATAAATTTAGAAAACACATAAATTCCATGATGATTAACAAGTTCTCCAACAAGAATACCAAATTAGTACTGAACATCCTTCATTGGTTTTGAACCTGTGAATAACAAACTACCTTCCCTTCTTCAGAGAAAATTCAGTACAAGATAGCCAGCCATAATCAAATAACTAAAAAAAACACCAAAACCAAAAAACCCAACTTAAGTTATGTTGACTTCATCCATTAGAGAAACAAATACAAGCAGTACCAAAATTACTGTTGCTGGTAGGTGCCATTGAGCCATAACAACGTCATGAACAACAACAGAAAACTCCTCCTGTCCAGTCTCGGGTCATCTCACAATCTCTACCATGTTTAAGCTCCCTGTTGAGAACATGGTGCTAATTCACCTCACTGAATGTTTTCCTGCTTTTTGCTGAACCTCTACTTTATCAGGAACTATTTCTTTATCTAAGGACTGTTCCCTCCCGAGAAGATGCCCAAAATATGTGAGAACAATGTTGATTCTCCCTTGTTAGACTTCTCCTAAGACAGATTTGTTTGTTCTTTTGACAGTCCGTGAGATATTAAGTATTCAACAATATTATATTCAACTGCATCAATCTTCAGACTTTCCTACATATTGTCCAGCTTTCCCATCCATATGCCTGATAACCCAAAATTTAAATCTTTCTGTGAAAAAAAAGGCTCCAAATTTTTATGCAATTTAAGTGATGCCAAAAAAGAGAACACATTATTTTTGCCATTTTGGCAAAAGGATGCCTAAATACAGAAGTTGGGGAAGGTACCAACATTGGAATGGTGGAGATGCAGTGACTCCATCAGGTAATACCACCTGCCAAATTCATTTCCACCAAATGATATTCTAAGGAGCTCCAGTGGCCCAGTGGTAAGATGCTGCACTGCAATTATGAAGGTAGGTGGTTCAAACCTATCAGCTGCTCTGTGGAAGGAGGATGGGCAGTCTCCTCCCACGCAATGAACTGCCTCTGCAAACCCACTGGAGGGTCAGCTATGGGTCAGTTCCAACTTGATGACCCACAACAACTGATATTTTAGAAGACTTTCCAGTGTACAACTTATGAATCCAAATGCTATGCAAAAGTTTTAAAAATCAAACCTATCATCAGATGATCCCCAAGGGAAAGATGTGGCAGTCTGTTTCCGCAAGGATTACCACTTTAGGAACCATATGAGGCAGTTCTACTATGTGTTATTGGGATGCTATGGGTTAGGATGTCAGTTTTAAGACTAAAGTTCAAGGGAGCTCTGGTGGCCTAGTGGCAAGAAGCTGCACTACAATCCCAGAGGTACGTGATTTGAATCCACCGGATGCTCAGCTGGAGAAGGAGGGGTAACCCACTACCAGTCAGATTCGATGTGATGGTACACACACAAAAATATAATAAAATAAAATTTAAAAAATCAACAAACACGCAAAGTTCACCTGATTTAAGACATGATATTTTCAATTACTACCTATGCATCTGAAAGTTGGACAACAAATAAGGAAGACAGAAGAACAGATATCTTTGAAGTGTGGTGCTGGAGAAGAATACTAAATATTCCACATACTGCCAAAAGAACAAACAAGTCTGTCTTTGAAGAAAGAAGGTCAACCAGAGTTCTCATTAGATGTGAGGATGGTGAAAATTGGTCTCACTACTTTGGTCATGTCAAAAGGGGCCAGTTTCTGGAAAAGGTCACCATGCCAGGAAAGGTGGAGGGTCCGAGAAAGAGAAGACCCTCTGGAAGATGGATTGACACAATGATTGTAACAATAGGCTAGAACTTATCAGAGATAGTAAGGATGGAACAGGATAGGGTTCAGATTTGTGGTTCACAGGGTCAATACGAGTTGTAGTTGTTCCAACAGCACAAAATGAAAACAATGAGATCTAACAACAAAGTATTTGTCAACTGCCATAGAATTTTTACATTATATTATCTAAGTACAAGCAGTCTCTAGATTATGAGCATTGTATTTAATTACAATAGGGGTGGACTTCCATATTTACAAATTCTGTACTCAGGAATTCAAACAACCATGGATCAAAAGTAGCCAACAAGAAGTTAAAAAGAAAACAAGAGAAATTAAGTTGTCAAAGAAATTCCTTAAGAGCTAAGGTAGAGCATATAGTGCTATTGACATAGTGTTTCAATTGCTTCAGGTGTTAAAAGTTATCTAGTTCTGATACAGGCCATGATCTTATCACTTATTATGCATCAGAGAGTTGGACAATGACTAGGGAGGATAGAAGGAGAATTGATGCCTTTGAGCTGTGGTGCTGGAGAAGAGTATTGAGGGTACCATGGACTGCCAAGAAAACAAACAGAGTCATCCTGGAAAGGGTCAAACCAGCTGCTTCTTGGAGGCAAGGATTCTAAGGCTCCGTCTAACATACTTTGGACATGTTGCAAGGAGGGACAGGTCCTTGGAGAGGGACATCATGCTTGGGAGGGTGGAGGGACAGCGCAGAAGGGGAAGGCCCCCTATGAGGTGGATTAATTCAGTGACTGGGGTAATTGGGATGAGTGTGTTGGAGATGGTGTGATTGGCACAGGACAGAGCAGAGTTTAGGGATGTTGTACATAGGGTCGCTATGAGTCGCAAGAGACTCGATGGCACATAATAACAACAGTTATGATTTAAAGTATACAGAGGATGCGTAGGTTATCTCTTTATGTAATTTTATACAACAGACTGAACAGCTATGGGTTTTGGTATTTTGGTATTTGAGGATCTTGATATGAATCAGAGAGCTGGACAATGACTAAGAATGACAGAAGAAGAATTGATGTCTTTGAGTCGTGATACTGGGAAAGAGTCTCGAACAGACCAAGGACTGCCAGAAAAACAAAGAGGTCTGTCTTAGAGAGGGTGACACCAAGTTTCTCCTTGCAGGCTAGGACTTTGAAGCTCTGTCTCACATACTTTGGGCATGTGGCCAGAAGGCACCAATCTTGGAGATGGATCTCATGCTCAGAAATGTGGAGGGAGAGTGCAGGAGAGGAAGACCCCAGAGGATTGATACAGTAACTGGGAAATAGGGGTAGATGTGTCAGAGTTAGTGAAACTGACTCAGGAAAGGGCAGGCTTCAGAGTTGTTGTACATAGCGTAGCTATGAGTCACAGGTGACTTGATGGCACATAAAAAGAACAAGAGCAAATCCTCTTCAGATACTGAGGGACAAGCATAAAACATTTCATTTTAATAATGAAAGGGAATGACTATGATATGCACATCAAACATTATTACTTTATTTCCATAGTAATAGTGTTTTAGCACATTTGGAAGGTTTTTCTTTTTTTATACAACAAATTAAAACATATGGCATTAATAATAAATAGTGGCTGGAACACAAAAGCTGTAAATAAATACCAATTAATATTTGGAAAATATGGCCTGCATGACAGAAATGAGGCTGGAGAGAGCATAATCAATTATTTGTTGTAAATATTTTTTTTTAAAGTATAAACAACTATCCTTAAGGATGTAACTTACTGACTACTCAGGAATTAGATGACTGCATTTGTGGAAAGAGATGGTGGAGAAACTTAGCTCTAGCAGTTAAAACACTTGAATTTATCTCACTTGAATTTAAAAACCATCTCAAAAACATGTTTGATGTACTGCACGCCAAAGATCAAAGAGCAGATAATCTGCGAGTTATCAAGGACATCATCCATGAAGAAAGCAAAAATTATTAAAAGGACAGAGAATAAAGAGACAAAAATGGATGTCAGATGGGACTTTGAAACTTGCACTAGAATTTGTTCATGATCCCAGGACTGTCTGTAGTGAGTTAAATAATTAACTGATACACAAAGCAGTGGCTCAGAGAACTTCAGCAGTTTGTCCCAAGTCACACCTCTCTCAGAGATTAGGCTATGCTCTTCTGCTTCTGCTATCCAGCCTCCAGCACTAATACAGACTCTACAAGTGCCTCCACTAACAGATTTGTCATCACTTGTATATAATTTAAGAACCCAGGGAATTCTGTAAACCGTGTTTTTTCCCCCCAATTTTAATGAAAATTCATCTGGTAGCAAAAATCTGATGTGAATAGATTTAACACTGTTTATTGTCTTTATGCACAGAGAAAAGATGATTAATCTGTTCTATGGCTATTTTCTGCCTCTGAAATGCCCACTGGCAGGTAAACTTTGAGTCTGTTGTAACTTGATAGTACTTAAAAACAACAGTGTTTAAGTGTGCATCTGCTGGTTTAGTGGTAAGGAGTTGTGATGCCAGCCCAAAGGCATGCACTTCAAATCCACAAATGGGTAATCTCCTGTCATGAAGGGTCAGGTATGAGTCACTTCTGATTTAAGGGTATTCAACATTACCACCACCATCATTTTATAGGGAGCTCTGGGTGAAATGCCCATAGGGAGTTGCACTGCTACCCTAAAGGTTGACTAGATGTAATGAATTTTTGTACTGTCTTTGTATTTCAGTTGTCATGACCACTCCCTACATTGGTTAAGCAAATATTAATATTAGGCAAAACTAATATTGCAGTCTCCTGCTCTACTGAGGGTATCATGCAATATCTGTTCTCTTAGCCTATCACCCATTCAGAAAACACACAAATTACCTGATTTCTGAAATACATCTGACTCCAAGGATTCTGAACAAGGACTTGGTGAGCCTATTATATTCTCTTCATCTTTTCTCAGCCAATATTTGCCCTTATATACAATCTCAGAACAACAAACTGACAAAACCATAAACAAATAACTGGTTTGTTTTAAATGGTTTTATTTATTTATTTGTTTGTTTGTTTAATACAGTTCTCTAGAAGAGATCTATACTTGTTCCCATTCCAAAGAAGGGTGACCCAACAGAGTGTGGAAACTATAGAACAATATCATTGATTTCACATGCAAGCAAGATTCTACTGGAGATTATCCAAAAATGACTGGAACAGTGCATCAGCAGAGAACTGCCAGAAGTCCAGGCTGGGTTTAGAAGGGATTGTGGTACTAGGGATATTGTAGCTGATGTTAGATGGATCTTAGCTGAATGCAGAGAATACCAGAAGAATGTCTATCTGTGTTTTATTGATTATGCAAAAGTGTGGATCATAACAAACTGTGGCTGACTCTGAGAAGAATGAGAATCCCAGAACACTTGATAGTGCTAATGAGAAACCTGTACTTG